TGCACACCGCCCCACGGAACCCGGAGAGCTGCGTTACATTCCCGGCCACGGCTAAACATAAACAAATCAGTGATGATCAGTGCAGTATCTGAACCAGGCGTGGGCCTCCCCGAGGGTTAGCTCAGCCTTAAATGAGTGACTAACGCAGTTGGTAAGCATCAAAGGTGCCTCTGGGCGCTGTGTTGACCACACCACCCCATCACGTGTGAATTGTTGCCTTCATAGGGCGCTCATTTACGTCGCTTGCCCTCATCGCCTCTGCCTAGCACGAAATTACAAACAACGGAATCTAAATAATTTTAATATATACCACAGGTATTGCGATTTTTGCACCCAAAAACGGCACAACGCACACACATAGTGCACATACGTGGTGTGCGTGCATGATGTGCATGCGCCACGTATCATGTATGTTGATTAACTGTGAAAAAAATAGTAGATATCCATTGTAATTTGTATGACTACATTAAATTATGGTTAATAATAATAATCTTACAAGCATGCACCACCACCGCCACCACAACCGCCACAAACCAAATATAAATATCGTATTTTTAAAAAAAATATAATTAAGAATAATGTTACGAGCACGCACCACCGCCGCAGCCGCCACCATGTAGCAGGAGGTCCGTTCATCTGCACGCAAACTCCCGCAGCTTAAACCACCGCAGACGCCCTCTCGCTCGCTCGCTCGCTGACTCTGCGAGAACTCTCCGTCGTACAATTGCTTGGCGTGTAGCTGTGAGGATGATAATGATGATGATTTTTTTTTATTTCTTTCTTTCTAAAAAGCCCACAAACTCTTTGACGCACGTTTCTGCCCTGGCCGAAAAAGAAGTCGGGAGTGGAATTAAAGTTAATGGAGGTTAATGATTGCAGCAGGCGAAAGGGAAAAGTTAATTACTCCTCGACTGCAATCCTCCTGGACAAATGACGGTGGTGCCGTGGCCATTGGGGAGGCCTGTGGGAAATTATCCGGCTCACCCCCACGCCCCCACGCCCCTCCCCGCTAGGGCGGACACGGTCTGCGTGTCGTACGCACGGTGCGCGTATTTCCTGGACAACTGCCAGGGTTTAGGTTTCTCCGTACCTAAGGAGAGCAAGGGGGGTGGGGGTGGGCGGTGCATGTTATGCGTACTTGGAATGAGGCTCGGATGTCATAATTTAGTTTTTCTCACGTCACATTTCCAAATGTCCAATTTGGATTTAGTATTTTGCAGACGGCAGTTTGGTCACATTGCTACAACTGGCATGGTTGATGGACTAGATTGATGAGGGGAAGTGATATTTCTAAAATATCAAACCTTGAATTGGAATTGTTTGCGTGAACTTCAGTCAGTTGAAAAAAACTGATTTTTTGGGGGGAGGGGGTTGTAACTCGGCACAATTACTAGATATTTAAGATTAATCTGAAAGATGCCAACACGTCGCTTATACAGAGCCATCATAACTTGCAGCAATTTCATCCAGCAGTGGATTGGTAAAGGGCTGTACTATACATGCCATGTAACAATCCACCCGGGACCTTCGCATGAGCCGATTTCATCGCTCCATCTCCTCGCTCCACAGCTAAGAGAACACATTAATGTTGTGCAATAAAATAGCGTACATACATAAGTACGTTGAACTTCTTTCGGCACCGTACGTATAACAAACGGGCCACGAACTGTTAAATCAGCATCTGGGCATTCTCAGCGGCATTGCAGCGTGGTTGGCATGGGCCCTGGTGCAAGGAATTAATTGGTGGAGGGCCCTGCCCAGTTACCCCCCTCACCCCTCTTTGTGCCCTGGGACCAGGGCCTCTCTGGCCCATCGGGCCTGGTGAAATTGCACCCCGCCTGTACATTCCATAACTAAGCCACCAAACCAATGTCCTCCAGCAGGAGACCCTGGTACCATCTTCAACTTTACGAGTGTCATCTACCAAGTGCGTTTCGTCACCTTGCTGTCGACCGTGACTGCGCGTTATACGTTCGGGAGAACTCCTTACTCACGTTGTAAATGTTGCGCGGTTTACTCTCCAACACACAACCATTGCGCTTAAGTAGTAGCTAATTGGCGCGTTTTTACTTACGTGACAAACGTGACAAACCTGACAAATTGGCCGTGTTGGGTGGCGGAGGGTTTAACGATGCATTTATATTCCTACGATCTAAACAAAACATTTATGGATAGAACGTTGATGTTATTTTTGGTATTGTTATTTTTGTCAAGGCCAGGGTGTATATCACACCTGACCTGAGCGGGGAGGGACGGTGCTCCTGCCAGGAACGTGGGGTTCAGTCTTCAAAAATAGAAGCGGTCGGGGTGACCGCCGGTGGCTCAAGGGGATCCAGACGGCTCCGAGCTGCCTCCAGCTGAGACCCCGCATCTGAATCTCAGGCCCGGCCGCCCCGTGATGACACACCGAGTGAGTTAACCGGTCCCAGCCTCGTCACCGATAACTGCGCAGGAGATAGCAAAACGCAGTTTGGGAGGGTGAAGCATTTTTTTCCAGCTCTACAAGTAGCATGGTTGGCTACATACGGTACAAAAGAAGTTCAAATTACACAAAGATCCCCTGTGAAACCTTAACATACTGTTGGGGCAAGTGCTTTTAGCGACTAGCACCTATCAAGGCCGGCACAGCACACGAGGGGGTGGGTGGCCAACACCACACCAGGCCGCCTTTGTCTCCCTCGTGGCGATGTTTACACGCCGCACCCGGGTAGTCATGTGAGTCTGAGTCTACCTAGGGGATGCCCAGGACCGGTTCAGATAATCGTCAACGGCGTTGGCCATGAGTGGGAATCCAACACGGGCGGCCGGATTTTTAGTGCAGCGCTCCAACCGCGACACGACGGCTCCATACATACAACATACATACAACATACATACAACATATATACAACATACATACAACATACATACAACATACATACAACATACATACAACATACATACAACATACATACAACATACAACATATATAAGTACAATCTGGCAACATTTCCCACATCTGTGAATTCAAAAAAGAACAAGTGAAATCGCAGACCGATTGGCCGGTTGTGGCTACGCTGCTGCAAATTGTAGAGGCAGCAGCGAGGGTTGATGGATCACCGCGCGCATACAGATGCTGTCAAACTCCCTCCCCGCGTGCATCGAGGAGGAGCCATACCCTGGCTCGCCAGGAGGCGGCAGTGCAGCAAGTGAACTAATCGCCATCACGTTTCCATCTTGTACGGGGATAGAGTGATACCCCACCCCTCTCTGCCACCCTTCTCGCTCTTGCTGCGCGTTTTTCTCCCGAGCGTGGTGGATGAGGGGCAGGCGACACGGCGTCGGCAGTCGCACACGGACGGCGTGGACAAAGCCCCGGGTTGCATAGCCAACAGTGGCCGGCATCCAAAACGTTGGTGAACGTGATCTGCGTAGATGTACAGCACCCTTTGTCAATCCACTGCTGGATGAAGGCCCCCCACCCCCCCCCCGGGGGGGGGGGGCTGTTTCGAACGTCATACTTCGCCGCACTGGTCGGAGCGAGCTATTCGGGTGAGGTATGGCATTCGAGGGCGGCTCAAAAAATATCACGTGCCACTGCTGTTCGCCGTGGTCTCCCGGCTTGCCAGAAATATACGACGGTACCCAATAGCGGTTCAAGTGCGGGCACTCGCACCTCTTGCAAGACGTCCGGCCAGCGTGTGCGTGTGAAAGAGTATGCCAAAGTACACACTGCAAGCTCCCTCCAGCGCTCACTCCTTTCCTGGAAGCCCTTCTGCCAGGGGTGACCTCAAGCGAGGGATGTAAACGGTCGCCCCCTTTTCACCTCCGTGGGTTGTACCCGACGGACGGGCTCGCTCGATCCCTTTCCAGCCGCGAACCCGCGTTCACCACCCCGCGAGACGACCGAGCTCAAAGACGCTTCCGGGACAGCCGGTTTGCGGGAAAAAAACAAACGCGCCCCCGGGTCTATCGTTATTTATTGGTTATTGCACTCAGGCAAACACTCGCGCGGCGTAAGCCGGTAAAGCCGCGGCGGCGGCGTTTTTGAACGGAGCAACTGGGGACCGCGCGATTCTCGGCAACGAGATGCCGCTGGGGGCCTCCTCGGCCCCGCGCCACGACAGGAATCGTTTACCGAGGCGTCGCTGCAAATCACGTCGTCGCGACGGAACAACACGACGGAATTTTTCGCAATGCGATGACTCCAGCTTTTCAATCGTGTTGCCGCCCTTTTTATTGGCGGCTTGTTTTCGCGCTTCGCTCGACTCGCGGTGGCTTTGAATGTTCTTCGACTGCGGTTCACCCGGCACGAGCCTGCCATGAGTCTATAAACTATTTAAAATATGAACAGTTTTTTTGTTGTTTTTACCAGTTAAGGCCCACTGAACTATGTTTGCACTTTTTTCAGAAGCGACCTGACCACAAATTATAGCTCAACGAAAGCGGACGATCACGTTGACATTGATAGCAGCCACATGCTCCAAACGCACACGTTTGTAAATTTGGAGGCAAAAAAACTGGGGGAGCCGGAGAAAAGGCCACGCAACCAAGGAGAGCACAATGGCAACTTAAAATATAGAGGCGTCAGAGTCACGATCAAAAACACGACCTCCTGCATACCAGGCGAGGTAGTTAACATCTCCCAGCCACCACGGTCGCAGCACTACGCAGGCTAAACTTCGTCTCGCTTCAGAGATCTCAATCAGTCACTCAGTCTCTATTTTATTTGCCAACATCGCCCTCAATGAAGAAGGCATCGTTGCACACAACGAGGGCACGGGAACGGTAATTGGGTGCAATAGAGCAAGGGGAATGAACAAATAAACCAGCCGCGAACCTGACCGGCGAAGGCACCGCTCGAGCAAAAGGTTAATTTGAACCGCGCACAAAAAATGAAGTGCTACCGTGTGCGCAACGAGTAGCTTAGGAAAAGGAAAGTGTCAGATGCTACTCGCTAACAGCACTTGCCCCAACATTCTGTTGAGGCTACACGGGTGATCTTTGTCTTTGTTCCCTAGGGCATGCCAGGGATTCCGGGCAGCAATGGGCCTCCGGGCCAGAACGTGAGTATACCTACACACGCGCTTTTGCTTATAGCCGCCGTTGCAAAGATGTGCAAGGGACACGAGCCACACGCGTCGACAGTGTCCAGGGAGGAACGGCGGCGGCAGTGGCTGCCTTTGAACCGATGGCGCGTTTCCCCACAAGGGGAATTATCAACACGGCCGCACCCCCTCCGGAATCGCCCTCCGAGACCCGTCCCTCCCGAGGTCGTGAGCGCCGGAATGTATTCATGACGGCGGTGGGTTTTTTTTAGGAACGAACTATTCGTGGTAAAAAAAATGTTGAGTTGTATGCCGACAGATGGCATTACCTTGCCAATTGCGCAATTCACCTGTGTGGCTTGAAAATAAATTGTATATAAATGTATAATACGATGTCCCCGGCCAAATGGCCCTTCTAAGTAGCACGTCCATCATGTTGGTAATTGTGCTTGTGATCCGCTGCCAACGCAGCAGCAGCAGCATCAGCGACGTCAGCTTCGCCGAATAATTATCTTTAAAAAATTACAGCACTGGTCTTCGTTTTTCTTTTTTTCGAAGCACTTCTTTGTCCACATTCTCATCGGTGCATTCGTCACGGCAAATGCGATCTCGCGTTATTTCGGCAAAAAAAAACATTGCCGAAATGCTGCGGCGCTTTCAAAATATGCTGTTTTGACCGATGAGAGCCAAATGCCAATGTGTGTGCATGTGTGTGTTAGTGGGAAGCGGTAGTGTAGTGGTTAGTGCGCTGTGCTACAAACCTGGCCACCCGAATTCGATTTACGCTCACGGCCAACACCAGTGACGATTATCTGAACCGGTCCTGGGCCTCCCCTAGGTCGACTCGGCCTTAAATGAGTACCTGATACGCTGTGTTAACATCGCCACTGGGGAGGCGGTAACAGCCGGCGCCCAACGCTCCACCATCAGCGTCCAATTCCCACGTAATAATCTCTCCATTTATCCACTGCTGGATAAGTGCCTTCCTGAGCCGCCGTCACCCCTCTCAATGACCGTAAAAACTAAAGGTCACGAAATGAGAAAAAAAAAACACGACTTTGTGTGAACGTCATCGCTTGTTCCGCCTGCCTTTACTGCCACGCGACGCTTCTTGTCTCGGTGTGTGTGTGTGTCTGTGCTGGATGCACCTGGCAGGGAGAGTTTGGCTCTGCTGGCCCACCAGGAGAGAGGGGGCCTCCAGGTGTGATGGTACGTGACCTCTGTTCAGCCCGCGGTTCGCACATAGGTCTCCTCCAGCTCCCCAATCAATCAAAATTTATTTCTAGAGCACTATTCGTGCAAAAAATGCAATGCGTCGTGCTTAACAGGCAATAACAATATAAGTGAAATTGTAGGCAGAATAAAATCACGTTGTAAAAAAATTTCTAGCAAAGACATGATCAAAATAACACATTATGAAAATCCGAATAAAAAGTAAGTTTTAAAAAGTAGATTTTTAGATTCATTCTAAAAGTGCTTAATGATTCTAGAGGCCTAAGATCCCCCTGGCAGGCAGTTCCATAGGCGAGGACTGTAAACACGAAAAGTTGCTTCTCCCTAGGGTTTGGTCCTGGCCTTTGGGACAACTAAAAGACCAGTATCAGAGGATCTGAGGGATCTTGGCTCAATGGATATATTCACACCCTTGCTATCATCATCATCACTGTCGTCGTCATCATCATCAGCCATGGTCAATCCGCAGCTGGATGAAGGCCTCCCCAACGTCGCCCCTACTGGACATCCGTGAAAAAGAGCTTCATAGCTCATCGGATGTCCCCAGTCTAAGTAAAGATTCTGATTCTCGTTCCGACATGGTCCTATGATGTGATAATTAATTTGAGGCTGCGTCGACCTAGGGGAAGCCGAGGACCGGTTCAGATAATCGTCACTGGTGTGCGCCGTGAGCGGGAATCGAACCCGGGTCGCCTGGTTCGTAGCGCAGCGCGCTAACGGCTACACTCCCGCTCCCCGAGAGAATATACCCCTTGTGCTACAGCCAGTGTGTTCCAAGAAATGGAATGCATCAAAGATGGCCTTGTCATCAGCACAGTTTAATCACCGAATGAATATATAGCCCAAAACGCTACACAGCAGCACGCAATGTAGTTATTTTTATACATTAATACGCGATTTTTTTTATTACTATTAATCACAGCTGCTGAGCACGGGCCTAAAAAACACTCAAAACTCCAAGCAGTCAGCAACAAACCGCACGATCAATGTTGCACTAGATAAGAGTTAATGCGTTTTTTTAGCGAGGTTCTTATAAGAGTTTGGAAGAAATAGACGATGGGGAGGGAATTCCATGGTTGAGCAGTGCAAGGGAGTCACGTAGAAATACAAATGACCTGCTGTGTGGTGGTTGACCTGCAGTGTGGTGGTTGACCTGCAGTGTGGTGGTTGACCTGCAGGGTGGTGGTTGACCTGCAGTGTGGTGGTTGACCTGCAGTGTTGAGGTTGACCTGCAGTGTTGTGGTTGAATGCAGTGTGGTAGTTGACCTGCAGTTTGGTTGTTGAATGCAGTGTGGTGGTTGACCTGCAGTGTGGTGGTTGACCTGCAGTGTTGTGGTTGACCTGCAGTGTTGTGGTTGAATGCAGTGTGGTAGTTGACCTGCAGTTTGGTTGTTGAATGCAGTGTGGTAGTTGAGACGAAGTAGACCAAGTCCTCAAAATTGGAGGAGGAATCAGTGAGTGACTTTCACGGGAATGGTAACTATGGATGTAGCGATGAAGGAGTGATAAGAAGGGGATTGACCACTGGTGAGTTAATGGAGTGAATCGGTGTGGGCTGGAGCTGAAAAATGAGCCGATTTCATTTCCAATATGACTTTAAAATGATAGCCCCCTTTACCTGGGTTCAGGCCCCTTGGGTCCGGGATCTCAGAATGTGCGCAGTAGTGAACGTGATGATGAGAAGTGCGTTGTCAGTGATGCGGAGTGTCCACAGCACAGGGTGGTGTAGCGTCCTCTCTCTTTTTGCCCCAGGGAATCGATGGCCTGCCAGGACATCCCGGGCCAAGAGGCCCCAAGGGCATAAAGGTGAGCGAACATACTTTGGTACAATTTGCCAGGTGGGACATTTTTTTGTTTTAATTGTATGTTATATTTTACACCATTTACGTGCATTCATCGCACCTCCAATTGGCACGGCTTGGCTAAGTATGGTGCGAAAGAGGTTTAAATGTTGCGCAATATTATCTTGTTGAAAAAAAATATATAGAGGGAGAGAAAGAGCACTTTAGCTCAAGGCACTTCACACGGTTTAAAAAAAAGGTAACAGAGTGGTTTAGATTGGCAGGGCGTCTCGTAGTGAGACCAACCATTCAGAGGTCTCACACAGCAGTGGCGGTCGCCCGCGTTAAAGAACAGCAGCCCGCTGAAGCAGATATCGCCGAACTACTTCTGAGATCCCTTCAAGTGACCCCCCCCCATGATCCACGCAGAGTCGTGTGAGACCATCAAAGGGATGTTTATAATTCTCGGAGCTGGCATGTGTTTTCCAAATTAAGTGAAAATCCAATTTTAATGTGAAGTCATTGGTGGCTGCGGACGGAGTGACCATTAACTTGTTACACTTGAAAAGCCGGTTTCATCACAGGCACCTCTTTTCATCTTTAGATTTTATAGATCAGTTTACAATAGTGGGGGTGGGGGGGTGGAGGGGTTGGGTTAAACACGCTTCAGGAGGTTGGCAGATGTTGAAAGGCTTCAATAAATGAGCGTTCAAACATCAATCTTAAGGTCGAATGCGTGGCAATGTGATGCAAAATCCTTGGGTCGTAAATTCAATTTCAGTTTACGGACAAATGTTCTATGATTTGGTAAGTCGGGCGCGCGACGGTGGGGGGGCGGGGGGCACTCTAAATTCTTATATTCGAGTAAAAAAATGTTGACAATGTACACGGCTGGGGCAGACTGTACGAGAAACAAAAGCAGATCGCATCGTCGCTCATTCTGCTGAGCGTCTTGACGTCCGTTTAAAGTTTGACTAACGTCGACCGACGTGTCGTGCCGTCCTCTCTGAGCATTTGTATCCACCCCCTCCAGCTCCCCCCCCCCACCCATCTGCTGGGTGGGGCTCATGGCCAGCCGTGTAGGCCGCACTTACACGACTGGCCATCATGGTTGAGCCTGGAAATCACGATCACGATCCTGGCCACTTGATCCACGGTGTACGCCGTGTGCCGGAATATAATAACCGATCGTACTAATAACAACGACAATAACAACGACAATAACAACGACAATAACAACGACAATAACAACGACAATAACAACGATGTCCTTTTAGATATATACGCAGGAAAGCTTCACTTAAATGGCAAGACATGTTTTGTGTGTGTGTTCGTGTTCAGTGTTGGGATGTCTTTGTTGCATGGGGCTGCCTCCGTTTCCACTGCAGACTGAACCCCCGATTATTTCTCAGCCACGTCCGTTGTCAGAGCCGCACAGTAACGTCGCTGTGATAAAGTTCGACACGCGGTGCCCAGATCTCGCTACGAATAATTTCCTGCCGCCCGAACACAGACGCCAATTTTTTTCACGGTACCAATACCCCGGACAGGTTTGCAGTCTTGCGATCGGAAAGTTTGCTAATTCAAATCCTAGTTGGGGGGCGGTGGGTTGGCTCAGCTCGTCATCCTTATGGGGGGGTCGATAAATCACGTATCACTCTTTGGGGGGAAGTCAACAGTGGTTCTCCTCTGGATAAACTTGCCCAGGCCATAGGAATGTGCAATTTCCACCACTGTCTCGGGGTTGTTAACAGTAGATGAGCCACCGCCTCGATGATTCGTTTGAACTGCAAATCACTTGGGTTGAAAGCCACATGGACGAACCCAATTAGGGTGTTAATTCTCTGCACCAGGCAGGGCGGTGAGACGTGGCCTTGTGGCTGCGTAAGTCTGCTGTAAATAAAGGCACGTGTAAGCAGGCGGGTAGGCAAACGCACGTACACGTGCATGCGCAAACTAGCACGTGTCCGCTTAGAGTATAATCCACGTCCTTGTTCAGGGCAATGGCTTGTGTCAAGCTGTCAGCCACTACAACAACACAAAACGTGGGCAAAAAAAAAATGTCAAATCTCGACACGGTGGTTCCATGCCATTGTGTCTATCTGTTTTTCTTTCTGTCAAGCTCCGTACGTTGTCACACGTGGCTGCGACTGCCACCGCCCCCACGTTGTTGCCGTTGATGCGTCCGCGCCGTCCCGCTGGCTTTTTCTGACATTTTTATTTTTGTTATTCTGCAGTCCGGCCTCGGTTTCCGTGTTATCGTATCGCCGGCAGCAAAAGAGAAAAAGATATACCGAAAAATAAGGAAAGGAAAACAACGCGCGGCGTCGTGCCATTGCGATAGCGAAGAGCGGACGGAGTCCCTTGATTAGGAGATGTTTTTCCTTTTCCTCCAAGTGGAGTCTCATTCCATGCGGGACTGTGAGGCTTGGAGACAGCGTCTTCGTCAGACAGTTAATAACACCATAGCTGCTGCAGCTGCTGCTGCTGCTGATGATGATGAAGAGAAGCCAGTTTGACTAAGCGCATCTTTTGTCGAAGGGAGACCTTGAAACGAGCACTACTTTTCTCCGCTGTGGCTGTGCTTGCGGGACTGCTCACCTTCTTGGGGCAGCTCGGCTGGCAGTGGGGGGTGGGGGGGGGGGGAGTGTGTGTGCCGCGAGTTGGTGCCATGAATCGATGCCGCGAGCCGCAAGTCGTTGCCAAGAGTCATTGCCGTGAGCCGGTGCCGCAAGTCGTTGCCAAGAGTCATTGCCGTGAGCCGGTGCCGCAAGTCGTTGCCAAGAGTCATTGCCGTGAGCCGGTGCCGCAAGTCGTTGCCAAGAGTCATTGCCGTGAGCCGGTGCCGCAAGTCGTTGCCAAGAGTCATTGCCGTGAGCCGGTGCCACGAGTCGTTGCCAAGAGTCATTGCCGTGAGCCGGTGCCGCAAGTCGTTGCCAAGAGTCATTGCCGTGAGCCGGTGCCGCAAGTCGTTGCCAAGAGTCATTGCTGTGAGCCGGTGCCGCAAGTCGTTGCCAAGAGTCATTGCTGTGAGCCGGTGCCGCAAGTCGTTGCCAAGAGTCATTGCCGCTAGCCGGTGCCGCAAGTCGTTGCCAAGAGTCATTGCCGTGAGCCGGTGCCGCAAGTCATTGCCGTGAGCTGGTGCCACGAGTCGTTGCCAAGAGTCATTGCCGTGAGCTGGTGCCACGAGTCGTTGCCAAGAGTCATTGCCGCTAGCCGGTGCCGCAAGTCGTTGCCAAGAGTCATTGCCGCTAGCCGGTGCCGCAAGTCATTGCCGTGAGCTGGTGCCACGAGTCGTTGCCAAGAGTCATTGCCGTGAGCTGGTGCCACGAGTCGTTGCCAAGAGTCATTGCCGCTAGCCGGTGCCGCAAGTCGTTGCCAAGAGTCATTGCCGCTAGCCGGTGCCGCAAGTCATTGCCGTGAGCTGGTGCCACGAGTCGTTGCCAAGAGTCATTGCCGTGAGCCGGTGCCGCAAGTCGTTGCCAAGAGTCATTGCCGCTAGCCGGTGCCGCAAGTCATTGCCGTGAGCTGGTGCCACAAGTCGTTGCCAAGAGTCATTGCCGTGAGCCGGTGCCGCAAGTCGTTGCCAAGAGTCATTGCCGCTAGCCGGTGCCGCAAGTCATTGCCGTGAGCTGGTGCCACGAGTCGTTGCCAAGAGTCATTGCCGTGAGCCGGTGCCGCAAGTCGTTGCCAAGAGTCATTGCCGCTAGCCGGTGCCGCAAGTCATTGCCGTGAGCTGGTGCCACGAGTCGTTGCCAAGAGTCATTGCCGTGAGCCGGTGCTGCAAGTCGTTGCCAAGAGTCATTGCCGCTAGCCGGTGCCGCAAGTCGTTGCCAAGAGTCATTGCCGTGAGCCGGTGCCGCAAGTCGTTGCCAAGAGTCATTGCCGTGAGCCGGTGCCGCAAGTCATTGCCGTGAGCTGGTGCCACGAGTCGTTGCCAAGAGTCATTGCCGCTAGCCGGTGCCGCAAGTCGTTGCCAAGAGTCATTGCCGTGAGCTGGTGCCGCAAGTCATTGCCGTGAGCTGGTGCCACGAGTCGTTGCCAAGAGTCATTGCCGTGAGCCGGTGCCGCAAGTCGTTGCCAAGAGTCATTGCCGCGAGCCGGTGCCACGAGTCGTTGCCAAGAGTCATTGCCGTGAGCTGGTGCCACGAGTCGTTGCCAAGAGTCATTGCCGTGAGCCGGTGCAGAGGCCAGAGACTAGGGCATAGTTTTTATGTGACGCCGCATCGCCCAATCCCCCCCCCACTCCCTACCCCCCCCCACTCCCTACCCCCCCCCCCCCCTCTCCGACAGCTCCAGAACACAGCACCTTGCCGTGTAGCGTAGCGCTTGGCAGCGGAGCAGCAAGGAAGGGCGGCGGTGCGGTAACGCCTCGCAGCGCGAAGGGGGCCCCGGGTTCCATTCCTCGACCCCGGGAGGCGCCTCTCTGCGTGGCGCTTGCTGTGCTTTCTTCCCCTGTTCGGCAGTCAGGCTCCTTCTCATAGCTAAAAGAAAACGAACAAAAAAATCAAATCACCTGCGCGTCGTTAAATGAACTTGGGTCAGACACCCTAATGCTAAGAAAATGACACGGCAAGGCTACTCAAAGTGGGCCGAGTCCATCCACAGCTGGGATTTGAACTCGTGAACCCCCGCTCGCCTGAACCAATGCACCGCCCTTTGTGGGGCGCCACGGTGGCTAGGAGATGTTAACTCCCTCGCCCGGAGTGCAGGAGGTCGTGGGTTCTATCCCGATCCTGACGCCTGCTGTGTATTTAGAGTTTGCGTGTCTCTCCCCCTCTCTCTCTCTCTCTTTCCCCGTGGTCGCGTGGATATTTTTCCTTCGGGTCCTCCGGTTTTTCCCTTCGCCATTTAGAATCGACGTCACGCGTTTCGAGCATTTGGCTGCATCAGATTTCCACGCGATGATTAAGCCGCTTCGTTGACCTATCACTTGCGCTGGCCCGGTTCGCTAATGGCTCGGTGGGCCCTTACCTGGTAACAATTGTTTTTGTTTTAATATGAACAGCGGCTCGCCACCCACGT